AGACTACACCCAGGGGGAGGGATACCTGGTGTAGACTACACCCAGGGGGAGGGATACCTGGTGTAGACTACACCCAGGGGGAGGGATACCTGGTGTAGACTACACCCAGGGGGAGGGATACCTGGTGTAGACTACACCCAGGGGGAGGGATACACCACCCAGGGGGAGGGATACCTGGTGTAGACTACACCCAGGGGGGAGGGATACCTGGTGTAGACTACACCCAGGGGGAGGGATACCTGGTGTAGACTACATTATTATAGTATTCAACAGTAGCTGTGCAACAGGTACCGCAACAAGACCTGTTGCAGAAACACACAGGACCCGAGCTCTTCAACACCCTCCCTCTCCCTACAGATCTATCGGGGTATAACACGCACACCTGCCAGTGCCCAGCCGCCTGATTCACGAAAGGACTTACGCAAGCACTTACGAACGTGTAAATCTTTCCTCAATCTTTGACGGCTTTGGTTACATTTATTAATCCTTTTACTAGCATGAAAACGTCCCTTTCAACTGTTGTTATTGTTATAAACAGCCTCCTGGTGCTTCGCAGCTCATTAACTGTTTAATAATTGTAAACAAAGCCACCAAAGATTGACAAAAGATGTACAGGTTCGTAAGTGTTTGCGTAAGTGCTTTCGTGAATCTGGCCCCAGGCGCCTAGTTGGTAAACACCGTCGTATGGTCTAGGGATCCGTGGAGACAGTCATCATTGTAGCACACTTAGTAACCTCAAGGTAAGGGGGGAGCAGCGCAGTGGGAAAGGGGGAGGGGGCAGCACAGTGGGGAAGGGGGCAGCGCAGTGGGGAAAGGGGGAGGGGGCAGCACAGTGGGGAAGGGGGCAGCGCAGTGGGGAAGGGGGAGGGGGGCAGCACAGTGGGGAAGGGGGCAGCGCAGTGGGGAAGGGGGAGGGGGCAGCACAGTGGGGAAGGGGGAAGCGCAGTGGGGAAGGGGGAGGGGGCAGCACAGTGGGGAAGGGGGCAGCGCAGTGGGGAAGGGGGAGGGGGCAGCACAGTGGGGAAGGGGGAGGGGGCAGCACAGTGGGGAAGGGGGAAGCGCAGTGGGGAAAGGGGGAGGGGGCAGCACAGTGGGGAAGGGGGCAGCGCAGTGGGGAAGGGGGGCAGCACAGTGGGGAAGGGGGGCAGCACAGTGGGAAGGGGGGCAGCACAGTGGGGAAGGGGGGCAGCACAGTGGGGAAGGGGGAGGGGGCAGCACAGTGGGGGAGGGGGCAGCACAGTGGGGAAGGGGGAGGGGGCAGCACAGTGGGGGAGGGGGCAGCACAGTGGGGAAGGGGGGCAGCACAGTGGGGAAGGGGGAGGGGGCAGCACAGTGGGGGAGGGGGCAGCACAGTGGGGAAGGGGGAGGGGGCAGCACAGTGGGGAAGGGGGAGGGGGCAGCACAGTGGGGAAGGGGGAGGGGGCAGCACAGTGGGGAAGGGGGAGGGGGCAGCACAGTGGGGAAGGGGGAGGGGGCAGCACAGTGGGGAAGGGGGAGGGGGCAGCACAGTGAAGAAAGGGAGGGGGACCCTATAAATGTGGTTTATTTAATATTTCATATACAACAAGAGTTCAGTCACACAGGATATTTGAGGCGCCAGACAGTCTGGTTTTAGCAATTAAGAAGTCACACCTTTAGAGATTGTATTGTCAAAGGTTGAGAGTGGTCAGGTGGTGTGAAGTGACCTTGCTTTCTGCTTAGCTGATATAATTGTAGCCAAGGTTCGCTGTGTCTTTCCACCAAACATGCCGCTTTTTAGGTGTAGACAGCCAGAGGTTATCTCCTTGGTAGGCGGAGTTTAGCTCCCGGTTCCCCCATAAATACCCATGGAACTGTACATATGAAACAGTGAGCAGGACAGCGATGGATAGATAGCTTGTCGAGAGGCCCGAACCAGCCTGTCCCAGGTCGGGTGGGGATTGTCTAGACAGTGAGCCGTAGCCCCCACACCCCTCTCTATCAAACTTATTCTCAGAGACTTTGGTGAGTGAACTTGTAAGGTGACGTATTTTGTTTTCCAACTTAGGTGTTGTGTGAGATTCAGGGGCAGTCAGCCGTAGTGGTCTCTATTTCTTGTGTGGTGACTCAGATTTGTGTGTTAATGTTGACATATTGAACATCAAGTGAAGTAGATAAATGATGATACCCATAATAATAAATATATAAATAATTTAAATTTTTGTAAATTATCGTTAATTCTGATCCCAAGATCTTGGATTTTGACAACTAGAGTGGAGAGCACTCTGAAGTTTACCTCTATCTTTCTACTATTCTAGCACTCTTACTTTCCTCCTTGATCTCATCCTCTCTCTCTCATTCTAAACTTTCCCTTTCTCCTGTCCACTCTTCCTCATATCTCCTATCCACCTCTCTACCTCCCTCAACCTTTTTTAATTTTCTTTTATTTTCCGATACGTTACAATGGTGGCAGCGGTGGGATGGGAAAAATTCCAAACCATTACGACTATATAGCACTGGGAAGGGATCAGGATAATGATATGGGATGGGATGAGGGGGCAAGGAATGGTGCCCAACCACTTGGACGGTCGAGGATTGAACGCCGACCTGCATGACCGTCGCTCTACCGTCCAGCCCAAGTGGTTGGGCAGTGAGTTCTGGGAGAATATTTTATAAGGTTATACATATTGCTAAGAGCATAATGAGTTTATGTATAATGAGTACCGAGAGTATAATGAGTTTACAGGTAGTGAGGGACCTAGTAACAGCCTTCCAAGGTGATGTTGGAGTGTCACACAATCAAAGTGTGTGTGTGGGTGTGTGTGTGTGTGTGTGTGTGGGTGTGTGTGGCTGCTCTATCCACACACCAGAAAAACTGGTGTTCTCAATGTCACAGCGTAGGAGGGAACCATGAGGATGGCCTTGGGCCCAGGACACACACACACACACACACACACACACACACACACACACACACACACACACACACACACACACACACACACACACCATCGCTTGTCAACGGTGACTTGAATCCCGTGTTCACAAGATAATGTGGATATCAGAAGCCAGCAGTCAAAAACAACTCTACCAACCAAGTTCACAACACCCTGACAATGAAGTGTTGTTGTTGTTGTTGTTGTGAGAGAGAGAGAGAGAGAGAGAGAGAGAGAGAGAGAGAGAGAGAGAGAGAGAGAGAGAGAGAGAGAGAGAGAGAGAGAGAGAGAGAGAGAGAGAGAGAGAGAGAGATATTGAAACAGATTAAAAATATATATATATATATGTTCTGAATGTCTTTAATTTGTCTTTGGCAAATCAAAAGACATTTGAATGTCTCTTGAAAACTACGAATGTCTTTAATGTGTCTGCCATCAAAGGTGAGGGTTGAAAGCAATACGGGTTAGACAACAGAGATGGGATTATCTATGTCTAATATGACTATGTCTACCGTCTGTTACTGGCTAGTTGAGCTTGTGTGTCGTGCCGATGAGTTACACTTGTGTGAGGCAGTGACCATACTGGAGACATTGCCAGCCATGTATGCGGGGCGGCGAACAGCGTATTCCTGGCAGCTATTCTCAGGCGCCTTCCTCTCATTCTTGCATGGTAAGTTATCAAGTACTTGAAGAAGCGACCTTGAAGCGCATTATACTACTGAGAGAGCAGGAGCGTGGACGCAGATAATGGCTGAGGTAACACTGAACCACGGCTGGGGGATGCGAACCACCTTAGCAACTTTAAGTAGAGTCGTTAGCTGGAGCTCCAACAGGAAGGCTGTTAGGTGTATCTAGACCCGTAGGCTAACTACTAAACCATCTCCCAGGATGTAGCCCACAATAGTTGTCTAACTCCTAGATGCTAAGAGGCATGAAGTGAAATGTGACACACACACACACACACAGATAGGATTATCTATGTCTAATATGATTATCTATGTCTACAGTTGTGTCTACATGCATCTTGCCACAGGCTGAGTGAACTGCACCTCACGTCGCTGAAAGACAGAAGAGCTCGGGGAGATATGATCACCATATACAAAATTCTCAGGGGAACTGGCAGGTTATCTTGAGATGATTTCGGGATTTAGCGTCCCCGCGGCCCGGTCTTCGACCAGGCCTCCTTTTTGTTATACACCCCCAGGAAGCAGCCCGTAGCAGCTGTCTAAGTCTCAAGTACCTATTTACTGCTAGATAACAGGGGTATCAGGGTGAAAGAAACTCTGCTCATCTGTTTCTTCGCCGGCGCCGGGAATTGAACCCCGGTCCACAGGATTACGTGTCCAGCGTGCTGTCCATTCAGCCACCAGCGCCCCTTGTGTGTGTGTGTATTCATAATTCTTCTCATAATTTTTGCATCATCAGCAAACATTGAGAGGAATGAGTCTATACCCTCTGGAAGATCGTTTACA